ATCCAGAGTCCCTCCCCATCTCTCCTGGAGCCCCTTGAGGGACTGGAAGGGGCTCTAAAGTCTCTCTGCAGTCTTCACTTCTCCAGGCTGAACCCCCCCAACTCTCTCAGCCTGTCCTCACAGCAGAGGGGCTCCAGCCTTTGGAGCATCTTCGTGGCCTCCTCTGGACCTGCTCCAACAGGTCCATGTCCTTCCTGTGCTGAGAACTCCAGAGCTGGGCACAGTGCTCCAGGCAACTGCTAGAGAGGTTACATCAGAAGGCTATGAAGATGATGAGGGGCCTGGAGCATCTCTGTGATGAGGAAAGGCTGAGGGACTTGGGTCTGTTCAGTCTGGAGAAGAGAAGGCTGAGGGGGGATCTGATCAACACCTATAAATCCTTCAAGGGTGGGTGTCAGGAGGACGGGGCCAGTCTTTTTTCAGTGGTGCCCAGGGACAGGACAAGAGGGAACGGGCACAAACTTGAACATAAGAAGTTCCATCCAAACATGAGGAGGAACTTCTTTGCTGTGAGGGTGGCAGAGCCCTGGCAGAGGCTGCCCAGGGAGGTGGTGGAGTCTCCTTCTCTGGAGACATTCAAACCCCACCTGGACACGTTCCTGTGGGACCTGCTCTGGGTGGACCTGCTGTGGCAGGGGGTTGGACTGGAGGATCTCCAGAGGTCCCTTCCAACCCCATAGCATTCTGTGAGTCTGTGATGCAAGGACATGGTTTCAATCCAAAGCTTCCTAAGAGTGACTCAAACAAGCTGGTCCGTACTGGTACTCACACTAGGGTTTCTCTGAACAAACACATCCCAACCCCAAAGTTCTCACTTAGAAACAAGACACTTTTGCAACGACGTTGACTCCCTGACGCAAGGAACCGCGTGTCCCCAGACACAGGAGATGGCGCTTCACGCTTTGATTTATACTGGGGGAAACAAGACCAAAGGAATTAAATGCAAACATGCTCTGACAGGTTATATCTGGTTTATTACTTTAAGAAAAATAAATGTTTGTTACATTTACTGTTACCAAATACACATATATATACACACGCGCACAAGCTTTTCGCTCAAAGATACATAATTAGCAGAAATAAAAGGCTTCTGCTCGTCATCTGCTTGTGGAAAACAATTAAAAGCAGAGTGGGATTTACACCTCGTTGGATTCAACGCCGCGCTGCAGCGATGAAGATGAAAGGCACAAAACCAGAACAGGCTTTGCAATAAAAAATTTCTCAACTCGCCATCTTACTGGCTGACCCACGGGTTTACCGTCCATTTTTAGAAATTCATCTTTGGCACAGAGCAGCTCCACCAGGTCTAACAGGAGGGAGCACCTCAGTGGATTTCATTCCACTCCACAACAGGAGACCACCATCCTCCCGGTGATTTACCTCACCTTTTTTCTTTTTCCTTTCACTCATAGAATGGTTTGGGTTGGAAGGGACCCTAAAGACCATCCAGTTCCAACCCCCTGCCCTGGGCAGGGACACCTCCCACCAGACCAGGTTGCTCCAAGCCCCATCCAGCCTGGCCTTGAACCCCTCCAGGGATGGGGCAGCCACAGCTTCTCTGGGCAACCTGGGCCAGGCTCTCACCACCCTCACAGCAAAGAATTCCTTCCTGAGATCTCATCTCAATCTCCCCTCTTCCAGTTTAAAACCATTACCCTTTGTCCTGTCACTACACCTCCTGACAAAGAGTCCCTCCCTGGATCTTGTAACACCCACCACAGACAGGACCTGGATCACAAGGAAGTGCAAAATTGCTGGGGTAATTTAATCTAATCTAATCTTTCCTCAATTTGCAATCCTACTTCGACCTGCGTGGAGAATCTCAACACGTCGTGCGTGTTGGAAAGAACCCGGGTTGTTCTAGTAAGGGAGAAGAACACGGGTCATCAGAGGGAGGTCCAAGCATCCCACCTCACAATTGTGAATCGTTGGAAAGAGCCCACACTTGCTGTGGCCACCCCACCCCACCTTCTTCTCTTGGCTTTCAAAGAGGGTCACCAATTGTTGGCAGAATGCTGACACACCGCTGATTCTCACCCATCTTCCACAGGACCGGGCAAGGGAGAGACAGGACGGGGCAAAAGCAGCTGAAAAGAGAAAAGGCACCAGGTTTGGTTCTCTTGAGAGATCTGTGACAAGCCAAAGACAAAACAAGAGCTGAAGGGAGGGATGGAAGGTTCCAGTTATGAGCACCAGGGTCACCCAGTGTGGAGAAGAGGACTGGGCAGCGTTTGTAGAGGCTGGAGGAAAGGAGACGGGCAGTGGGCAACCTGCTGGAGGCTGCCATGCTGCAGCGACCAGGGAGATGGGTCAGAAAGAGGGAAAGAAGTAGGTGGGTGCTATGAAACACCCCAGCTTTGGTCAGAGCCTATAGATCTTTTATTCTAACCCCTACATGAGGAGGAGCGAGACCCAAACTGGCCACCGGGGTTATTTCACACCCTGAAGGTCACAGCAAACGTCAAATGAAGTTTTCTGAGGAGTTTTTCTCTCTCTGTCCCTCCCTCCCTCGGGGGCTGCCACCCCGAGAACCCCGAGGTCCCACGGGGAGGGCACAACCTCCCTCCTCACCTTTTTTCTTTTTCCTTTTGCTCATAGAATGGTTCGGGTTGGAAGGGACCTTAAAGACCATCCAGTTCCAACCCCCTGCCCTGGGCAGGGACACCTCCCACCAGACCAGGTTGCTCCAAGCCCCATCCAGCCTGGCCTTGAACCCCTCCAGGGATGGGGCAGCCACAGCTTCTCAGGGCAACCTGGGCTCTCACCACCCCCACACCAAAGAATTTCTTCCTAATATCTCATGTAGATCTCCCCTCTTCCAGTTTAAAACTGTCACCCCTCGTCCTAGGGCTCCCCTCCCTGATCCAGAGTCCCTCCCCATCTCTCCTGGAGCCCCTTGAGGGACTGGAAGGGGCTCTAAAGTCTCTCTGGAGTCTTCTCTTCTCCAGGCTGAACCCCCCCAACTCTCTCAGCCTGTCCTCACAGCAGAGGGGCTCCAGCCTTTGGAGCATCTTCGTGGCCTCCTCTGGACCTGCTCCAACAGGTCCATGTCCTTCCTGTGCTGAGAACTCCAGAGCTGGGCACAGTGCTCCAGGCAACTGCTAGAGAGGTTACATCAGAAGGCTATGAAGATGATGAGGGGCCTGGAGCATCTCTGTGATGAGGAAAGGCTGAGGGACTTGGGTCTGTTCAGTCTGGAGAAGAGAAGGCTGAGGGGGGATCTGATCAACACCTATAAATCCTTCAAGGGTGGGTGTCAGGAGGACGGGGCCAGTCTTTTTTCAGTGGTGCCCAGGGACAGGACAAGAGGGAACGGGCACAAACTTGAACATAAGAAGTTCCATCCAAACATGAGGAGGAACTTCTTTGCTGTGAGGGTGGCAGAGCCCTGGCAGAGGCTGCCCAGGGAGGTGGTGGAGTCTCCTTCTCTGGAGACATTCAAACCCCACCTGGACACGTTCCTGTGGGACCTGCTCTGGGTGGACCTGCTGTGGCAGGGGGTTGGACTGGAGGATCTCCAGAGGTCCCTTCCAACCCCATAGCATTCTGTGAGTCTGTGATGCAAGGACATGGTTTCAATCCAAAGCTTCCTAAGAGTGACTCAAACAAGCTGGTCCGTACTGGTACTCACACTAGGGTTTCTCTGAACAAACACATCCCAACCCCAAAGTTCTCACTTAGAAACAAGACACTTTTGCAACGACGTTGACTCCCTGACGCAAGGAACCGCGTGTCCCCAGACACAGGAGATGGCGCTTCACGCTTTGATTTATACTGGGGGAAACAAGACCAAAGGAATTAAATGCAAACATGCTCTGACAGGTTATATCTGGTTTATTACTTTAAGAAAAATAAATGTTTGTTACATTTACTGTTACCAAATACACATATATATACACACGCGCACAAGCTTTTCGCTCAAAGATACATAATTAGCAGAAATAAAAGGCTTCTGCTCGTCATCTGCTTGTGGAAAACAATTAAAAGCAGAGTGGGATTTACACCTCGTTGGATTCAACGCCGCGCTGCAGCGATGAAGATGAAAGGCACAAAACCAGAACAGGCTTTGCAATAAAAAATTTCTCAACTCGCCATCTTACTGGCTGACCCACAGGTTTATCGTCCATTTTTAGAAATTCATCTTTGGCACAGAGCAGCTCCACCAGGTCTAACAGGAGGGAGCACCTCAGTGGATTTCATTCCACTCCACAACAGGAGACCACCATCCTCCCGGTGATTTACCTCACCTTTTTTCTTTTTCCTTTCACTCATAGAATGGTTTGGGTTGGAAGGGACCCTAAAGACCATCCAGTTCCAACCCCCTGCCCTGGGCAGGGACACCTCCCACCAGACCAGGTTGCTCCAAGCCCCATCCAGCCTGGCCTTGAACCCCTCCAGGGATGGGGCAGCCACAGCTTCTCTGGGCAACCTGGGCCAGGCTCTCTCCACCCTCACAGCAAAGAATTCCTTCCTGAGATCTCATCTCAATCTCCCCTCTTCCAGTTTAAAACCATTACCCTTTGTCCTGTCACTACACCTCCTGACAAAGAGTCCCTCCCTGGATCTTGTAACACCCACCACAGACAGGACCTGGATCACAAGGAAGTGCAAAATTGCTGGGGTAATTTAATCTAATCTAATCTTTCCTCAATTTGCAATCCTACTTCGACCTGCGTGGAGAATCTCAACACGTCGTGCGTGTTGGAAAGAACCTGGGTTGTTCTAGTAAGGGAGAAGAACATGGGTCATCAGAGGGAGGTCCAAGCATCCCACCTCACAATTGTGAATCGTTGGAAAGAGCCCACACTTGCTGTGGCCACCCCACCCCACCTTCTTCTCTTGGCTTTCAAAGAGGGTCACCAATTGTTGGCAGAATGATGACACACCGCTGATTCTCACTCTTCCATCTTCCACAGGACCGGGCAAGGGAGAGACAGGACGGGGCAAAAGCAGCTGAAAAGAGAAAAGGCACCAGGTTTGGTTCTCTTGAGAGATCTGTGACAAGCCAAAGACAAAACAAGAGCTGAGGCGAGGGATGGAAGGTTCCAGTTATGATCACCAGGGTCACCCAGTGTGGAGAAGAGGACTGGGCAGCGTTTGTAGAGGCTGGAGGAAAGGAGACGGGCAGTGGGCAACCTGCTGGAGGCTGCCATGCTGCAGCGACCAGGGAGATGGGTCAGAAAGAGGGAAAGAAGTAGGTGGGTGCTATGAAACACCCCAGCTTTGGTCAGAGCCTATAGATCTTTTATTCTAACCCCTACCACCCACCGCAGCTGGAGCCTCACACCTCAACAACCTTCTCGTGGTGGGGCAGGCCAGAACGTGCTCCTCTGTTCTCTGGGGAAACCCAGAAATCCCTCGAGATGGAAACACAGCTCCAAGCAAGGCAGCCCCTCAAGTTTGGTTTGTTTGGGGGTTTTTTTGTGTTAAAAAAACAATCCCTGTTATTCAGCAGCGCTGCTATTTTTGATGCTGCTCCGTTCCAAGAGAGCAGCAGTCCTCTGAGAGGCTCCCAGGCTGCATTTAGAAGATGAGTCACAGGCAGGGAAAGGGACTCACTGGAAGGGAAAGAATCACACAAAGGTCAAGAGAGAGGTTCTGGAGCTCCTGCTTACGGTCACCACACATTCCAGGGCACCAGGCACATCATCCCCTTTTCCAGGGTTATTCCCAACCTCTGCAGGTTGGTTCCCGCTTCCCAGCGAGGAGCTGAGCTGATGGGAACCACCAGACTTCTGGAAGACTTCACTCCCACACCAAGAGTGTTGTGTCCAGTTTTGGGCACCTCAATACAAGAGAGATCTGGAGGTGCTGGAGCGAGTGCAGAGGAGGGCAACGAAGCTGGTGAGGGGGCTGGAGCATCAATCTTATGAAGAGAGGTTGAAGGAGCTGGGACTGTTTAGTTTGAGGAAGAGGAGGCTGAGGGGAGACCTCATCACTCTCTACAACTACTTGAAAGGACACTGTAGAGAGGTTGGTGCTGGTCTCTTCTCACAGGTAATTAACAATAGAACGAGAGGGAACGGCTTCAAGCTCCAACAGGGGAGGTTTAGATTGAACATTAGGAAGGAATTTTTCACTGAAAGAGTGGTCGGGCATTGGAACAGGCTGCCCAGGGAGGGGGTGGAGTCACCATCCCTGGATGTGTTTAAGGGCCGTTTAGATGCAGTGCTGAGGGACATGGTGTAGGGGAGGACTTTGTAGAGTAGGGGAGATGGTTGGACTCGATGATCCCAAGGGTCTCTTCCAACCTCAATGATTCTATGATTCTAAGGCATGGAGTGAGGATACCTTGCCAAGGCTCTGGAGATCCACATCTCTGCAGCATCTCCTGGCAGTTGGGGCAGGTGGCCAGCTCCAGACAACCGCAGATGCAAACCCGTCCGGGGGTGGGGGTGATGCAAGCCCTAAAAGTCAACCCACAACTGGGCTACGTCGCTCCATCACACGGAAGGCGGCCAAACTGGAGGGCAGATCACAAGAGAGAGAAAAGAGAAAGGGTTTAGGGAAGCTGAAGGAGGGAAGACATGCGTGAGTCAAAAAAAATAAATAAAATAAAATAAAAAGAAAGCAACCGTAAATATAAAAATCCCAAAAAATAAGGATGTAGAACTACAGAGAGGAAGACATCAAAAGGAGACATCTGCGGCAAAAGTACAGCAGAGAGGGAAATGAAATACAATGAAGAGGGGATAAAGGATTATCCAATAAGAAGAGACATCCAATTTTTATTATAATTAGGTTTTTGTATAATTTTGCTGCCACAAGTACCTCAGAGGCAACCCCGTGTCCCACGTCCTCCCTCCCGCCCTGCTCTACCTGAGGAGGACATCTCCTGCTGCAAGGCCAGAGAGGAGACCCAAAGCTCCCCAAGAAGGACCAGCGAGGCGTGTGGCCAGGGCCCTCAGGGAGCCTCACTCCTCGCCCCAGCCCCACCAGCAGCACTGTCACCTCTGCAGCCACCCCAAGGGGAGGACTGGGGGGGGACACTGCTGGTTCTCTCTCATGTGGCACTTTTCATTTTTTCCCTGCCACTTCTTTTTCCCTGGCATCCTGGGGGGCATCAGGAAGAGTGTGAGCAGCAGGTGGAGGGAGGTCATCCTGCCCCTCTGCTCTGCCCTGGGGAGGCCCCATCTGGAGCACTGGGACCACTTCTGGGCTCCCCAGTTCCAGAAGGACAGGGAACTGCTGGAGAGGGGACAGCAGAGGG